TGAATTCATCACTTTTTTACATGAATTTGTTGCATTCTCTTCAGAAATTTTGTAAGAAGTCATCATTTTTTTCATGTTATTCTTTTATTTTACAAATTCATGGTGCTCTATCTAAGGAATTTTCATGGATACATCTTGGTTTTAGTTGGTTTTGTTTTTTTTTTACTGAATCCAGTGCGTTTTTTTCTTACACAATTTCTTCATGAGTTTTTTCCTTTTTTCTTTTTTCCCCACAATTTTATCATGAATGAACCTTTTTTTTTTTTTAACAAATTCATCATCAATTTTTCTCATGCTTCTTTTTTTTTCAACTAATTCGTCCCTTTTTTCATGGATTCATCGCTTTACATATTCTTCTCACAAATTTATCCATTTTTTCCACAAATTCATAGTTTTCTGCAATGTGTGTCCCCGCTTTGCAGAGGACCTGGCTGAGAGTTCACTGCTCAACAAGCTGCTTCACACCTCGCTGGTAGAGAACAGCCACCACGTGGAGGTGCTGCAGCAGGACCCCTCCTCCCCGCTCTTCTCCATCAGAACCTTCGAGGAGCTGCACCTGTGAGTCCCCCAGCACCTGGCCTCGCACACCCCACTTCCTATAGAATGCCCCAGGCTGTGCTTTTTCACAGGAAAAAGGAGCTTTTACAGGGTGTGTACACCATGGGCTTCAACAGGCCATCAAAGATCCAGGCAAATGCTCTGCCCATCTTGATGGCACATCCGTGAGTCCTTACCCCGCAGGAAGGGATGAACCAGCCCCAGTGTTCTGCCTCCCTGTGAGGTGCCAGCGCACAGACCCCAGACTTTTACTGCTAACATTTCCCTTGCAGTCCCCAAAATCTGATTGTGCAGAGCCAGTCTGGGACGGGCAAAACAGCAGCATTTGTCCTGGCCATGCTGAGCAGAGTGAAAGGTGCTGAGAGGTACCCGCAGGTATGTAGCAGGAGGATGGCCGCTGGGTAGGGGCAGAGATCTGGGTTTGCTCCTGTTACGTATGGCTTTGGGGTGTTGCAGGCATAGCTCTGGGTTTGTGTCCGTTTTGTAATTGCTGTTGATTATAATCTCAAGTATCGTTCATTGCTGCTCATCATAAACTCAAGCATCCTGGTTACTGCTCACTGTAATCTCAAGCATCCTGGTTACAGTTTTTTGAAGTCTCTAATATTACACGTCCTAATTGATGCTCATTATAATCTGCAGCTTCCTGGTTGCCAGTTGCTACTCATTTATACTTTTCAATGCTTTTTGATGCTTTTTGATGCCTGCCTGTTGCCTAATATCTCTTCCCCCCCTCCCAGTGCCTTTGTCTGGCTCCCACCTATGAGCTGGCCCTGCAGATTGGCCATGTGGCAGAGAAGATGGGGCGGTTCTGCAATGACATCAGGGTCACCTATGCTGTGCAGGGCAACAGAGGTTAGTCCAGGCCTGATGAGAGATTACAGCAGTTAGCAATCCCTAAGTGAATATAGGAATGCTCCATAAGCCCTGAAGTGCCAGGGGTTGCGCAGAGCTTGCTGAAGGAGTCTGCATTCATGTGTGCTGCTGATAAGGAGTCACCCTGATGACCACTGGCTTCTTTTTGACACAGACACCCATTTTGCTGGTATCTAACCTCAAAAAGCTGCAGGGAAGCACTAAGCTCAAAAATTGCTACCTGCAATAGAGCTTCTCTTTGGAACTGAGGAAGTGAAGGACAAACATGATCAAACTGACAGAAATATAATTTGTTGAGTTTCCCGCTGGAAACCTCTTTGCATGTTGTTTTGCCCATGCCTTGTCCATTCCTTCCTTCTTTCTTGTCCATTTCTTTACTGTTCCTTGCTTGTTCCTTTTCCTTGCTTGTTCCTTGTCGTCCCTTTTCTTGTTTCCATTCCCATGTCTTTCCCATTTTTTTTGCCCACCCCTCACCTGTCTCCCATTTTTTGCCCACACTTGCCTTTTTGGCACCCCTTGCCCCTCTCTTTCCCTTCTTTTGCACCCCCTCTGGCAGTGTCCCCAGGCACCGTGCTGGAGGAGCAGATTGTCATTGGCACGCCAGGCACCATGCTGGACTGGTGCTTCAAGCGGAGACTGCTCAACATGAGGAGGATCTGCATGTTTGTGCTGGATGAGGCTGACATCATGATTGACACACAGGGATTTTCCTCCCAGAGCATCCGCATCCAGAGGTGAGTCATGGAAATCTGCTTTTGGCATGGGAAGATGCAAAAGGGGGGGAGGAAGAAGGTAAGATTTTTCACAGAGGGCTTGCTTTCTCCCAAATGTGTTGATTTGTTTGGTTTTTTCCATAAGACTTGCATTCATTGTTAAATTGT